ATAATTGGCATTAGAGCTAGTTATTATCACATTGGATAAGCATGATAGTTTTGTAATGATCAATGAACTTGTAAAAAATGTCACAAGGTCACAAGTGTTAATAATGGGAATCTTAAAGACCGGTTGAGTTGAATGTCGGTATAATTGTTAGAAAAGGGCTCATGAAGGTCCATATGGAGGGTAGGCTGAGTTTGCTCCTCCAAGAGGTATTTCTTCCTAAATGAGGCATCATAACTCATCCCATCAATAGTCATGCAAAAGGCCTTCATTTCATACTAAAAGCATATGCATTCTAAGTCTCCAACGCCCATAGGAGGGAAGGGAACCATTCGATTCATCAAAAGAGAATATGTGGAACAACCAATTTTTAGTAAATAATCACCTCATGATTGTGTTGGTGATCAAACCTCAATTTGATGACGAGATATGACTATATAATATTTTCAAAATTATGATACTTGATGTGAATCAAGAAAGAAGAAAAAAGACAAATAAGAGAAATTGTAATCCTATTTGATGAGATTCTCAAAGAAAGCACAAGATATAATGGTATAACTTCCATTTGTCGTACACAAACTTCAAGGCTTGGAGTAAATGTTCCTTCATAAGCTATAATTTTTTATTTGGTAAAAGTAATAGGGCTAATGTGGCTACACAACATTTGGTAATATTGAACTTCCTAACAGTTAACATATTGCATTTGTTGTCCATTAGGTAATAGCAACTTAGAATTGGGAGTTTTGAATTCTCTAGCCATGAACAATCTTAGATAATGAGCAAGAGTATGAAATTTCTCATCGTCATTTTTAAACATTTGTGTGCTAGAAATTATCTGCAATCATAATGGGACCCAATGGAATGTTGCCCATAGCATCTACTTATTCCTTGGTAAAAAACCAAACGAAAAAAATTTACTCTGGTAATGTTTCCCCAAGAAAAAATTCCAAAGCCCAAGTTAGTAGGTGAGTTTGAAAGTTTAAGGAATGAGAATATTCAATTGAGCCTTTTCAAATGGATGGAAGGGTTCTAGAATTTTGAATTGAATTTGAAGTACTGTACCCTTCCCTTCAGACGAAGAATGGCTTTATACTTTAGTAAGGTGGATGAAAGATAGGAGAGGCGCTTTATCTCTGAGATTCCTATTGAACAAAAAATACCCATTAATTAGGGGCAATCATGGTCCTTCAAACATTATAGCTCTCAACAGAATGGATGGATGGATGAAGTCCTTAAGTCTTAAGACTAGAGTTGTTAGATACACATATCAGATTGACATTAATTCCTTTGAGCTTGATTGAAGAGTTGTGAACTAATCTAATGGTGTAAATTCAAAAGGGATTTTCATAATAATTTTATATGAGAAGAGCTTCAGATTTTACCAATGGATGATGAGCCAGATTTTATGGAGTTTGTTTGGGAAGCTTCTGGCACAGGAGATCTGTTCATCCCATACACTTTAAGTCAAGTTAGCGCTGAAACACTGGAGCAACCTTAGGTTTACTCTTTTTTTTTTCTATTTTTAACCATAGATTTAGTCATTTGAAAAAGCAAACTAACCAGCCGTAGTTATCACTTCAGATTAAAAAGGAGTAGACAAAGTATGCCCTAATTGATCCAAGGTTCACTGAGCAAAAACACTAATATCATTTCATTGAGGCTATGTTTGGACTAAAGGAAGATGGAGAAAATGAAATTTCAACAATTTAGGGGTTGGTTATGAATATGCAACCATTGGTTTAAACTTTCCAACCTTTTTTTCAATTCCTTTCACTCAATTTCTTGGCACCCAAACACAATCAAAGAGGCTTGTATAAATCTAGCTTGAAACAACAATTATGAATCAATCCCTTACATCTAGGAAATAACAATACTTTCACCAAATGAAACTTTAACTACGGGTAGCATCGGAAAAACCAAAACAATAAATCAACACCTTATTAAGGATGATGTTATAATTTATTTTTGTGAATTACTTGGTAGTACTTTCAAGTCTAATCCTATTGATTAAAAATCCAATCGTACAATGAAACTATGGAGGTCCTAAAACTTACAAAGGAAATTACTTTTGAGGAGCTGTGGCAGGTTGTCTTTGAAGCAAATCCAATGAAGACATTGAGCATTGATGGTTTCAAACATTCTTTTCAAATATCATGGCCAATCATAGATCACATCTAAAAGGCTCTAAAGCTCTTTTCATGTATTAATGGCTACTGATGCTTTTATCACCCATTTTCCTAAATAGCAACTAGCAAATAGGCGGAAAATGTAAAGGCTAATCTCCCTGTGCAAAAGCTTCTATAGAATTCTATTTGAGATGTTAACGCTTAAGCAATTAGGCGGAAAATATATAGGCTAATTTCCCTGTGCAAAAGCTTCTACTGAATTCTATCCAAGACGTTAAGACTTGAGCATTCATGAGCTGGAATGCTCTGGTCAAATTGTTTCTGTTTTTTTACAATGTATTGTGAAAATATCATTCTAGATCATGAGTAAAACAAGCACTTCAATGCTAAAAAACATTGGAAGATTTTAAGCATTGATGCATAAGCTTGGGAATACCTCACTCCCTCCCTCCCTCTATCATGAGTTAATCAAGCAATTTAATGCGCGCATGCACAGACCCGCCTCCAACCATCCACACACACATATACACCCCACCCCCAGCATGTACACACACACACCCACTCACACATTCCAACCCGCACACGTGTGATTATCTGGGGTGATTATCTCATCATGTAAATTTAATTATCAAATTAATTTAAACCAAATTTAAATAACTTTTCTATTTATTTTTAAAAGTGAATGAAATGTATTTTTGTCTTTCAATCTCTTAATAGTTAAGTCCTACCAAACCAATTCCATTGTTACAATCCTCCAAAAATATCAAAGCTGTAAGACCGCTTCACCTTATTTTGTCTCAGATAAATTGATTTAGGAATTTGAGATCGCTTCACCTTAGGCTCTCTCGCCATTTTTCCTAAGTTAACTTGTTTGTCTTTATCAAAGTCTTGTGCCAACTCCTCATTCATATTCTTTCTTTTGGCATATCACTTTAGTTTTATTTTGTATGTTTGTGTCACGAAAAATTTCATGTCAGAATATGAATCACCTAATTAAGGAGTTCAATTAGATTTAGTAGGTTATGCGCTTGTTTTCCTTGTTTGTTTTCTTGCTACTTATTTGTATTATCCTTTAGTGATTTATGCGGGAAGATGGATTGTCAAATTATAACAAAGGCTGCTCAACCTAAGTAATAACAGTATGATCTCATAAAATATTGATGAAATTTATAAGATCTAAGAGAATCTAAATGGATACCACAATGTACAAGTGGATACTACAAATTCCTTTGAACAAAGTCAAGAAAAGAGGTCACAAGATGCACTTTGAAGAATAAAAATAAGAGAGTGGTGGGGATGGTAACCCCTGAAATAATTGTAGGGTAGGAGCAATGAAATTCAAGATACATGGCTATCAAAAAAGCTTGTCGTTCATGAGAAACTCAATGAGAATATCATGTTTGATTTATTCATTAAGTGAGTTGAACGCGAGCATATGTTTTGAGCTTGATTTTTAAACGAGTTGAAATTGAATAAACTATTGTTTGATTGTTTTTTGCTTGTTATTAAATTGGAATAAATAGATATACAAATATATTAAATTATTTATTGCTATTTTTATATTTTTTAGAAATACTAACCGGTTAGTAGATAAGTAAAATGGTTATATTATGTTCAACTCATTATTTATTTATTTTCATTTCTTTGAAACCAACTCATATTTGGCTTATGTCCATTCAAATTCTAAAGATATGAATAAAAAATAATGTCTACAAACAATTTCAAATACGATCCGAACACAAATATACTCAATTTCAAACAATTCGAACACAAAAAAACTACACCTAGCTCAAGCCCAACTCGTTTGGGTAGGATGCCATAGGTAGAACTGCATCGCTCGCATATGACATCATTTTATAAAGAGGTGAGCTTAATAAACAAAAAGATTGTGAAATTTATGCACAAGAATAATTTTGTTATTAGAATCTTTTAAATTTCTTTATTTAGGGAATACAATAATTCACAACAACAACTACAACAAACCTTTATCCCACTAAATGGGGTCGGCCACATAAATCATTTTTCTCCATCACGTCCTATTGAGTGTCATATTTTCATTTAATTCTAATAGATTAAAATCATTTTTATACAATAATATGATCCTTTTATTAATATAATAAATTCTAATCAAGTAAACTTAGTAAATATTAGTTTTTTTTGCTGAGTTCATCGCCTTTCTCCTACAAAATTTGTTCTTCATTTCCTTTAGAGAGGGGATGACAAATATAATAGTGAACAAATAAGAAAAAGGGAAAGTGGTGGTCCAGCAAGTGCAAATGAAGAACGAGTTAAAGGGAAAAAAAAAGGAAGGAGTGCAATGGATTGGAATTGGTGGTTCAGGAAGGTGAGGGGAAAGGAAGGATGTCAAAAAGACAAAAGACAGAGAGAGAAAAGGATCAAAAAGGCGTTGCACTTCAAGAAAGTTGGAAAGGTTGTAAGCAACACTTCTCTCGATAGAAGTTATTATTCAATCTGGATTTAACAACTCCATTAGCACAATAAAGGCTTAATCAAGATGTTCAGACTTGCAAAACTTTTTTTTTTTTTCTTAAGCCAACAAAATCAACGATAGAACTTGGCAAATTAGCCACTTTCCCAGAAGAAACTACACAAATTTACATAGAAACCCTGTAACCCACGCTCCCCCCTTCCCTCCTACAGCAGATAGTTAAGTATCGGTCCTCTTACAAAATCTATCTTACAGCCAGCAACCTGTTCAAAGGATGAAGTAAAGAAACAGCGAAGTTTTGAACCGCTTTCATTAAAAAAAACAAAAAAGAAAAAAAGAAAAGAAAAGAAGAAGAAAGGTTTCGAGAATCATGAAGAGACTGAAATTCCTAAAAACCTAATAGAGAAGGATCCATTTCGCAAACTCACCTTCTAGTGTTCGCACAAGAGATCGAGCTCCTGCGAAGCCGCTCCCGCCTCTTCTTGCTTACAGCTTGTGTGCTTGCCCTTCTCGCTCTCTCGCTTCACTTTCGCCCGCTAAGCGCTAACAATGGCGGCTGACTAGGAAAGTTAGATGTTATAGGGCACAAGAGGCCATTTCAACCACAGAGAAACCTATCAACAATGTGTATGTTATTTATATTTATTTAATAAATAAATGGTTATATAGCTCAAATTTTGCTCACTTACGGGGGTGTAAACGGCCGAACACGACTCTTGTTCGCCTCGTTTATATTTAGAGCTAAGAAAGTTTGTTTGTATTCGGTTTGTTTGCTTAGCAAGCCGAACACTAGTCGTTCACGAACAAAAAGTCAAATCACGTATTCATAAAATGCTAAGAATTGAGGCAAAATTTAAAACAAATCTATTTTAATAATTTTTATTATATTTTCTTCATTAATACTTCTAAGTCATTATAAATCTTTGTAGCCTTGTAGACAATTAATTTTTTAAAATAATACTCATCAAATATATATATATATATATATATATATATATATATATATATATATATAGTAGTATTTCAAGTCAAAACGAGCCAAACACAAACAAGTCGAAAACGAGTAGTATTCGGCTCGTTAACTTAGCGAATGAGCCAAACACGAGCTTCTTAACCAGTCGAACATGAGCTGTTCGAGAACAACGAACAGTTTTGACAGCCCAACTCACTTATGGTGAAAATGAATGCTCCATCAGTTGAACCTAATATAACTTGATTCTGAGATCCTTAAGGCGCAACAACTTAAAGACATGCCCGCAATTAAAATAATCAACATGGGACTTCTCATTTGATATTTTTAGAATTTTAGATAAATCCATTAAAATGTCAAGCCAAAAAAACTAGCACTACCATTTAAATTTAAATAAATCCAAATAAATTTAAAGAATTTCAATCAATTGTTCGTTGACATCACTTACGACCATCATTAAACATGTCCTTTAACTATCATTATTCGATTGCTATCACTCGATCATGCATCAAATTTAAGACTATTACTTTTTATTTTGTTTTAGTGTATATCATACAAAACATTTCTAAATGTGACAGACACCTAAAGCATGGATGTAAGCTCCAACCAAATCACATAAAAATCATTACATGTTTGAATAACTTTTTAGTAGACATGACATTAATAATTTTGTGATGTTATGTTTTATCATCCTACTCATGTGCTTTATTTATTTTTAAAAATTAAATTTAATAACTCATATTTTTAATTCAATTAAAAGTTTATTAAACATAATTTTTAGTAGAATATGGTTCACACTTAAAAATCATGCAAGCCCAATTAAGGTGTATATTAAAAGGAATCAATATAAGTTGTTTGACGGAGCATTTTTGAGTATTGGCCAAAATAATAGGAATATCATTCTAAAAAATTATAAATAAATTCACATTCTTCACATGAAGGGAGCCAAAACAAAAAATTATGAAAAGCTTAAATATCTAAGGAACTCTAAGGTTATGCTCGATGATCAATACTAATGACTCTTACGAGCTACTATTGTTGATTGTTCATCATTGTTCAACCACCATCGCCTTATTTAAATTTTTCGGTACTGGTGCCAATAATTGTTGGTCAATATGTATATTTTGCTTGTTATTGCATGACCAACATCTCATACTCATCATCATCCGACTACCATTTATTGATCGTTGACCTAGCTCTACCCTTTACTTACTATCACCTGATCGCCATCTACTGACCATCGTTATTGAACTCTCATTATTTGATTGACATTATTATCCTCCACCGTTTCTATCACGATCATATGAAACCAAATAATTATTTCCAATTTTGTAATCCTATATTTTCTCATTATGGACGGTAGATTTTTATAATCTCACATTATGTATTATTTCAATCACGTCATGTCTTATTGTTATTTCCTTACCCAACATTCAAGATATTGCATTACAACGTATTTGGAATACTCCATTGCCTAACATTCAAGTTATATTGTTACATCATGTTCGAGAAACTTAGTTGTACAGTGTTCGAGATACATTTTTGCACCATGTTTGGGTATTTTATTACATCACATTCAGGAACTTCATTACACCACGTTTGGGGTACTTCACCATATGATTCACCAACAGCAGTGAGCCCGGATGGTTGACAATGGTGAACAACAGCCGACATGAGGAGGTTGATGGTGGTCAGCGTATATGAAGATATGAAGTCTATCTCCTCTTTCTCCTAAGTGAGGAGGGGGTCTATTTATTGGCCATGAGGAGGGTCATTTTTTCCTTTTGTGAATAACTCTCATAACCACCCAACTAAGCGATCCACATTGATTTCCCTTAATCACAACGATGTTATCATATCCTTAATGACCTCGTAATCAAATAATGTTGGGCTACTTGAATTTATCTCGTCAAGACACTAAATTTGAATGTAAATATGTCAAGTTTGGAGTTCATTTGAATGTAAATATTTCAGATTTAAAGACTCCAAATATGTTTTAATGGTTTGATCCGGACTTGATCAGACTCGGATTGAACCAATTTTGGCATCTTTGAATTTGTCTTATCAGTTTGACTATAAACTTAGTAAAATCAGAGCTCTGGGTAATCTTGAATTTGAATTAAAAAATAATTTTTAAGAAATTGCTCCAAAAATTTGCAAAATAATAAAAATTTGTTGATGATGCATCAAGTGTAATCAAGCTGCTAATATTACAAAAAAAAAAAAAAACCTTCTGCACAAGCTCGAGAAACTTCTAATTCGAGTTAACAAGCTCATACGTAACTTTGTTAAACTTCTAATTCGAGTTAACAAGCTCATACGTAACCTTGTTAAAATGTTTTATTAAAGTTCGATATTAACTCAAAATTCAAAATAAATTATAATTAAAAATATAATTTGATTAAATAAAATAAATTTTTAATTAGTTTAAGAATAATTAAAATTTCTCATATTTCTAATAAAATATAGCATTTGTATTAAATACAAGCATATTTTGGGAGAAAACAAAACCTAGGCTTTGTTTAGGAGGGCTTCTCCTCTTGTAATTAGGAGAAGTGGTGTTATAAACCTGAGGTTCATAAAATCCATAGTAGCATTTGATTTAAATAATAATAATTTTTGCATGCCTTTTAACATTATTACTTATAATATTTTTAATATAAAATATTATAATAACTTTAATATTTTTAAATTATAATCATCATATTAAAAACTACTTAATTGTCTATTGAAAATAAATTTTAAAACCGAATAAATTCGATAAATTCAGATTTATCAAAGCTAAATTCATAATAATGTTTAGTCCAATAAAGATTAAATTCAGTTAATGTGGCTTGGTATGTTTGACATGTTATTTCATGATTAGCAATTAATTTTCAAAAAAAAATTAATATGAAAAATAAAAGTCAAATCATAATAAGTTTTAAAATACAAAAAAAAATTGATTTCATGTACAAAAATAAAAAATAACTCGGTTTTTTTTCAGAATCTATCGCGTGTAGAACTGTTTGCCCAACTTTGAATACTTCTATTTTTTATCCTCCTTGAATCACCAATATCTTTCTTCTCCATTGAAACTCCTTATGCAGAGCCTTTGTACGGATTGTTTCAATTCATTCGTTTCTCGTGCTTTTTCTTCTCATGGTGAGACCTCTCTCATAAATAGCCTTGAAAAGCTTTCTCACGTGACAAAAGAAAAAAAAAAATGATTTCTAGGATTTGTGATGAAAAGTGAATTGGTGTAAGGGATGATGTTGTATTCAGAAGAATCAGAACAATCTGTATTGTTTGAAATTGACAAATGATATTAAGGCGATTGCGAGCTCTGACTGTCGATTGCATTCGTATTTTTCTTCCCCGTCACACTCGACAACCAAATTTTGCAATCGAATAAGGGTAATATTGATATTTCCAGTTACGAAACACAAAACTGAGCATGAAAGCTATGCAGAGAGATCGCAATCTGAAACTGGGGAGCAATAATGTTATGTTGGGAGAAAATTTGGGAGAAATGAATAACCAAACAAAGCCACAATATTTTATAAGCGTTTGATAGAATGGAAATGAGCCAAAACACATCACCAAACAAATCCCTAAAATATTTTAAAAAATTAAAAATACAAAATAAATGTTGAACCAGTCTAGTTTGTTGTTTGTTTATTGTAATTACTTATGGGTTAGATACGTAAATATACATGAATTGTTTGGTACATAAATAAATGCCCCTAGGTGAAACAACTATCTCGTCGAAGTTAGAAGGTTTGTAATCTTTTGTCGCAACATCATAAAATGGAGAAAATATTGCGTATGGAGCTTTGACGCATGCTACGTACGGACGAAGGACACGATACACTGATAAGGTCTTTTTTTTCGCCAGTGCATTGCGTCATTTGGCCGTACGTAGCTCACGTACGGACGACGTACCTGTTGAGAAAATTAGGGCGAAGAAAAACAGTAATCGACACAAATCCAGAAGAACATAGAGATTTAACGAGGTTCGGCAAAGATGCCTACGTCCTCGGGAACAGAGCGGTGAGTTCCTTTCACTATTCAGAAAAGGGTTACAGAATAGAGGGATACCTCCTGGGGTTATTAACATGTCTATTTATAACCCCGGAGTAAACCTAGGCACAATATGTAATTACAACATTACCCCTGTACCAAACCGCGGGGCTTTCTCCTTGCGAACATCCTGCCCCTTAGGAGAAAATCTCACCTTGGCAAATATCCAGCCCCTTAGGAGAAAAAAATTCAGTTAAGGACATGTTCATCCTTTCTGCCACACCTTTCTGCTGTGTTGTCTTCCGCACTGAAAAATGCCTCTGAATCCCATGCTCCTCACAGAACTTCTGAAACTGTGAATCTGTGTACTCTGTGTCATTATCAGATCTCAAATACTTGATCTTTCTGCCAGTTTGGTTCTCCACCTCAGCTTTCCACAGCTTGAATTTAGAGAAAACTTCAGATTTCTGCTTCAAGAAATACACCCAAACTTTCCTAGAGAAATCATCAATAAAGGTAACGAAATACTGAGATCCT